ACATTAAAACAAGTTCAAATAATGAAACATATAGAAATATGTATCACATAATCAGTGATTGTATTTGATGAGTTTAATGAAATAAGCGTTTTGTATCTTCTTATGTTATTGTTTCAAAGAAAAATTTCCAATCTATCCATTGAAATTATTTAAATCTGTTTTAAAGATGTTTTTTATATCATTTTTGGTCAAACGTTTCGTATTATTATTATATTTATATTTTATATCGTAAATAATCTCAAGAAACATAAGGATTTAATTTTCTTAATGCCAGTGAAAATTAAATTAATTATTATGACTTAAATATAAATTAAACGGTGCTACTTGCAACGAATAACAATACTGTTTAGAACAGTTTATTTGAATGTTGCTTGTTTATAAATTTCTGCTTGTTATTTAATGAAAACGGAGGAAAGGAAAATATTTGAAAATGAATTATCTGCCGACCTATGTCGCAATATGAAAGCAATTCTGTATAGATAACACAAATATGTCAGAAATATAATGTACATAAAAAAAATATTTAATAAACCTTATATGTAAAATTTTGGTTGTTCTAAATAGCAATTTTATTTTTATAATAAAAAACATTAAAATTATCTTTTAAATTTAATGTATAAATTTTAATACGTAATTTTACAAAATTTTTATAAAATTAATATATAATTTTTAAAAAATTAGAATTATTTTTCAAAATTTGTAAAATTTCTATATAAATATTTTAAAAAACAAATTAGAGTTCATAATTTAAAATAAAATAATCATAGAAAAATTAGTTAGCTATATGTTCTTTAACGAAATATTAAAATAATAAGAAAAATGTTCAATGCTTAGGTCATATTTCTAATTAATTATAGATGAGATATAGAATAGATTATTTATGCAACGAAATTTTTTGTTACAAAAATTAGAAATTTAAATGATCATTTTCATGTCGCATGCGATATTATCGACTCGGTATGTTTTGTGAAAATACAATTAGTAAGCATGATAAATCACCGAGGGCATGAGAAACATTTTACTTCTTTTGAAGTCGGTATTTCAGGACATATAACACAAAGTTTCATAGGTTGTTAAGTCTATCCTGTACTTCATCTGTGCTTAAAATAACAAATTTTTAAAAATTGAAATTATATAACTATATATACTTGAACATACATTTTTTAAAATTATTTTTTTTTATAATTTTGTATAAATTTCCAAATACAATGTGAATTAAAATGATCAATGCGAAGACTATTTTTAAAATTTATTTTACGTTTTCGAAATTTTTATTAAAACAAAACTATGTTTAGGTTATTCTATATATAATTTTCTTGAAATTTTGTATTTATATAGAGTATATATTTGATCTAAAATACTATTCTAATTATATTTTATATATTAATATAAAAAAGCTTTAAAAATATGATAACAAGTTTCATAAATCCTCAAACTTTCTAACGAAAAATTATAATATATGTTAAGTCTATTTTATATTTCGTCTATGTTGACAATTATTTAAATTTAAAATTCAATGATATATAATCAATTATGTTCAAAAATCTATAATATTTCTTAATATTATAATATTATAATATTATAAATATTATAATATTATAATATTATAAATATTATAATATTATAATATTA